ATAGATAAATAATTTATATATCTTTTAGTATATGTAATTATAAGTAATTTTTATGATACGTAAAGCTGAAATTTCATGATTCTTACATGCCAGTTGTTTAATTAACGCCGATCATTATTTTTGATTCTTAAAATTGGTTCATCTCGTCGCAGAAACTGATTTCCAAAATCGTTTCTTAGAAAATTCATTAGGTATAACCTTTCAGGATTTCGTTTAATATTTTCTATAATTAAAATGATTAAATGAAAATCCATTATATATATATATATATTTTTCTTTTTTCTTTTAATATATTTTGTACAAAAATTTTAAGTGCTCGTTTACTGTGTAATTAAAAATTTATCTCACGTAATGATAAGAAACTATTTAAAATTATTTTTTTTCTTATTAACTTTGTGTAATTTGTAGTCAGAGACAATATCAAATATTACGTATCAGTATATAACATAATATAATTTTATACATATAATTATATTAGATTTAGTAATTATGTAAAGTTTCTAGATAAAAGTAGAAGTATTTTTTTTTGTAATCTAATAATGGCTAAAATATAACCATAATATTAAATTATATTCGCCTTATATTTATTTATTATTTTTAGTTTTAAACCTACGAATAATTGAAATAAGCTTTAACGACACGACATAAAATATTTTTTTTTGTCATAGCTAGTTACTAAATTTAAAAGAAAAGTAAGGTCATAAGAAATGAATTGATAATGTCAAATTTTTGAATTTGAATATTCAAAGATTATTATAATATTTATTTCTAAAATTTTAGCTGCAATGATTTTTAATTGCAAATATCTTCTTTTGAAGAATAAATTTCAATATTGTGAGTATTTTGTAGGCATGGAATTTATTATTATATTAATGGCAACCATCCTTTAATTCTTTAATTTTTTATTACTACAAAAAATTCGTTCAAGTTGATTCTTAGACATTTTTATAATTTTTCAATTTAATTGTTATTTTATTTTTAAATAAATAATTAACTAATAATACGATGTACAATACACAATACATAATAATAATAATGCCATTCAGTAAGTATTATTATTATAAATTTATTAGGGAAAGTAATGGCGGAACTAGAAGCAATGGTGGAGGAGATAAATTAATAATGAACTTTTCTTGGAAAAATTTATTTTCGTGAAGAGATAAACATTTTATGATATGATTCATTTAAAAAATTTTTTAGGTGGTTCATTGAACCCAATAGACATGAAGGTATCATAATTTAATTATTTTTTCAACGTAGTCTTCATTTTATTTCCATTAATGTACGTATACAGTTATTTAATAATTATTTTAAATAATTATTATTATTTTTTTTGATACACCTAAAAAAAACAATTATATATATAAAAATTGAATGAATACTTAGAAAGGAAATTGTTTATGTAGCACTGCTTTTTGTCAAATCAATTATTTCATTTGTTTGTTGAAATATAAAAAGATATATATGAAACATTTGTCAATTCATACCAGTAAAATTTTTATTTTTTGTTGATCGTATTTAAACTATTTGCTCAGCTACAGAATTCATATCAAAAGTCCAAGCCTTTTCAAATTCTGCCTTTACTCATTATCGTTTACTAGAAGAACTTAAAGAATTTGTCATATTATCGAATGAATACCTAGAAGAGGATTATCTACAAAATCTACTAGAGGGGTGTCATTCCATCTTTAATGAAGGTATGAATTATTTACAATATCCATAAAATATTTTTTTTATTATTAAATAATTTATTGTTCAATCTTGTGCATTTAACTCAGTATAGTGAAGGTAATACAAAAAGGTGTGGACCAGACGAGTGGTGTACAGGCATAAAATAGGAGTTGCGTACGGTATACAAAGGTGCAAAAAAAAACTCCCAACTATCATGTTATTAAAGCTAGGGTAGGGTTAGGGTTAGGGATTGGTCAGTTATTTAGAGTTAGACATGGGTTAAAATACTTTGTGCACATGCGTACTCTTTTTTTACATTCCTTTGCACCACTCATCTGGTCGAACTTACTCCACAGGACCCGTATATTGATGTAGTTTGAGTATATTAAAGTATACTTATATTAAAGTGTACTTAGAGTATGGACGTGAAACTGATTCGACGATTAAATGAATACGGTATTAAGTCAATTCTTGGTTTATCAGTTGAATCTGATCTGTCTGATGAAGGATCTTCTTCTTCTTCACCAGAAGATAAAGAATCTCTTCGTATGAAATATAATATAAATTATTTAAGATTTATTAATACTACATCAACTTATCCCAATAATTTTTCTCTGCTAAAATTTTACAAAATTTAACTTCGATTTTGAATTCTTTAGATAAATGATTTAATTAATTTAGCATTAATCGTAAAGGAAAATTAGAAAAATCGGAATTTTAAGGATTTTTTGATTTGTATTTTTGGTGAGGAGGAGGAGAAAGATTATCAATTGATTCATGATGTTCTCAATTGGATATTACTCAATTGTTGTTGAGTACTAATAATAATAACTCAAATTCAAGCCAAGAAGATAGTAAAGATTTCGAATATTTAAATATATCGGCAATTTATCTTATATCCATGAAATTATTTCAAATCGAATCCTAACGATGGTAAAAAAGGAAAACGAGAAGAGATGAAGGCGGTGGAGGAGGAAGGAAGAGGTGCAATTGTATTCAACTCGTATCAAATGTATCTCAAAGACTCATTCCCAAGATTAAAGCGAGATTTTGAATTATCGAGAAGAGAGAATTTTGTATTCTCTGCCAAACTCGTTGATAAGATTTTGCATGATAGGAATTAGATCGATGCCAAAAAATACGGATATCCTAATACCATACATGATATTTGAAAGAAAAAGAAAGTTCAAATAAAAATAATCTATTGCATTTTTTATTGCTTCGCAAAATCAAAGAATCAGTAATTTTGGCATGAAATAAAATGAAACAATTTGGAATTGATGCAAATTCGGAAGTTGTGAATTTCGGTCAATTATATGGTAATTATTTATATTTCTATATATTATATATATATATTTATATTATTTATCGAGATTAATTTAATATTTATTATTATTCGGAATGTGTGATCTTATTACTTATACACATGCAAGTTACAGGTGTCCTATATATAAATGTATAGCGGGGTGAGTGTGGTGATGTCGATATATTTAAATTTATTAATTATTATTTTTAATTATTTTTAATTATTTTTAATTTATTTTTAATTTATTTTTAATTAGTTTAATTAATTGATTTAATCGATTTAAAGATTAATGAAGGAATCCCATTTTTAATAAAGAGTGCAAGAAAATTCTTCCGTCGTCTTTGATGATTGGTTAATGGATGAAGGAAATTATTATGGAATGAATTAATTAATAGATTTAAATTTAGAATTGACTAGTTAATGAATTTAGGTAACGCATTTAGTTATAATTCTGTTATTAGTTAGTTATTAGTTAATTAATTAAATTGATAATTTATTGTCTCCTTTACTAAAAATTATCTTCATGATATTTCGTATAGTATTCATTATATCATCTTTGTTTTCTCTGATATTTTATTTATTTTATTTTATTTTTTTTTTTTTGGAAAATATATCAAAAGGGTTATTGAATGAAAATATATTTAATGAAAATTTTCATATTTATGAAGTGAGAAATAGAGTGGTGTGTCTATTTTATTATTATTTTCATTATTTTTCCAAGATTCTTTTTTTTGGTAATGAAATTCCTGTTAAAAGAAGAGATGGAAATGACGGAAGTGATGGGAGTGATGAAAATGATGGAAACAGTGGAATCAAAGAAGATGATGACGATTCTACGTGACGAAGGATCGGTTTGTATTTTTCGACTTTGTACTTTCATTTTACGATCTTTTTCTTTTTTTATTTCGAATACGAATAACAAAAACTCGAAATTATCATAGAAAATAATAATAATAAACTAATTAAGATCGAAAAGGTCATAATAAATTTTTTTTTTTTTTTAATTATTATTATCATTATTATTATAATTACCACGATTTTTTAATTGCGAATATTTCTTCTTTTTTTGAAGAATAAGTTTCAGTATCGTGAGTATCGAGAATATCGTGGGATCGATCGCGAGTTTTGTGAGCATCGTGAGCATCAAATTTATTAATTGAAACCATTTTATAATTCTTTAATTCTACAAAACATTCGTTCATGTTTGATTCTTATAATTTTTTAATTTAATTGTGATTTTAAATAATCAATATCATCAGATCCTTCTTTCAACATTTAATTTTGAATTTAATTAAAGGTTAATAATTTAAATAGAATAATACGTTTTTTACTGTTTTCACGTGATCTTAATCGGCCAAACGTGCGATCATAAATTTTTAAAATTGTTTTAGCACAGATAAATATGTTAGTTTGTTTCCTCCCCTTCTTTTCAGACAAAACAAAAGGGATAAAGGATATTCTTATTTCATTGCATTTGAATGCATTAGTTAGTATAAATTACATAATTTAATTACGATTATAGAATTTTTTACTTACGTCATTACAACGGTTTAAATCTTTAATCTAATATGAGAAACTAAGCGTTATGAAATTAAAGGAAAGCAAAGTTTTTTTTTTTTTTTGGAAATACGACACATTGTTTATACATTGTATGTGTTGCCGATTATTGAGTGTCATATACATAGTAATAAAGCGAAACCATTCATCTTAGATTATCCCATTAGAAATGAATAAGCTGTAAATGTGCTATAGCACGTGAAAAGTCTATTCCGTATTTATTTCAAAAGATCAAAAAAAAAAAACTTACGAACAAACTTTCACATTATTCTAAATCAAATTTTTTTTTCATGCCAAATTTTTTTGGAAGTGCTTCTCACAGTATTTATACACATAAATTAAATTACATGATGTACAATTACTCTTTTCTTTTTTTTTTTTTTTTATTGAAAGATTATACTCCAATTTACAATTTACAATTTAATTTTTTTGACTATCTAAAATCAAGAAAAATTTTTCGAATAAATTACTGTAATTTTTCAATCCATTCCATTTCTTCAAATTCATTACCTATATTTTCTTTTAAAGAAATTTCTTTAATTTCTTTGATCAAAGCTTCATCATCTTCCAAATCCAATCTTTCCATATTCTTAATAATCTCTGTCACATTGAAACGTCTACTAACGTAAAAGGCTTTACTATCGACCACCCATTCTGCATCTCCTATATCCGTAGATTCGTCATAATTACCATTATTTCTTTCTTCGTTTTCATTATTCGCTTCATTATTATTATTTTTACTTTCATTTAATTCCATATTCTTCGAATTTTTTAAAATGGAATATGATAAAGTACCTTTCCACCATTCTTTCGAACGTTCAATTGGTTCAAATTGGTAATTTTTATTAAATAATCCAGTATTTAATGAAGTCAATATGATCTCAATTTCACCAATATCAGGTCTTTCATCAGGATCCTTGTCCCAACATCTCCACATTAATTCAGCATAACCATCCGGTGTACCATATACTACACCAGGTCGAACTCCATTAACAATTTCTTTAATTAATTCGGTGTCATGTGGTCTATCACCAAATGGTAAAGATCCTGATGACATTTCCCACATAATTGTACCAAAACTATATACATCACCTTTCTTAGAATATGATCCCCCACAAAATAATTCGGGTGCGATATACGGAATTATTCCAAAAATTTCGTTATCATTATTATTTTTTAAAGTAAATGTGGCAGGTCTACACATTCCTAAATCTCCAATTGCAATAGATTCGGATTTCAAGCAAGGTTTAAGTAAAATATTTCCCGTATGTAAATCACGATGAATCCAACCTTCCTCATGAATTTTTTTAAGACCATAAGAAATACTTTGAAGAATATTCAATCTTTCGCTCCAATTGATTTTATTAAATTGATTGTGAATGTAAGTTCGAAGATCTCCATTTTTAGCATAATCAATTACCATGATATATTCTTTGGTTTGAGGATCTTGCGTGATACCGTAACATCTTATAACAAAATTATTGTTTTCGCAATGAAGATGCGCGATTAACTATATAATGATAATTGTAAATAATAAATAATTATTGTTTAGAAATGATAAAAATTATAAAATAATAAAAATCATAAAAATTATAAGAATTATAAAAATTGTTGTTAAAAGAAGAAACTCACTTCTTGAAAGAATTCAGCTTTAATGTTTTGAGAATCTTTTAATTGTTTCAGTGCCACTTCAATATTTTCTTTTCTAACATACTTTTGTAAATTTTTATTCCACCTAATCATAGGTCCTTTCTTCCAAATTGCATGAAATACTTTACTGAATCCACCCAAACCAATTTGTCGAATAACTTTAAATTCACTAAATGGTATCCATTCCAAACAACCTTCACAAGATGTAGCCAAAGTTTGAGTATATTTGATAAATTGATCGACATTGTTGTTTCCACTCGTCCAACTACCAAATTTATCACGTAATCTGGATGATTCGCAAGAGTTGCACCACCATGACGGTGATAATTGATTAATTTCACATTCGAAACATGTAAAAAGATCGCACGAAATATTTAGATTTAATGGTTTTTTTTCATAAGGAATAATAAATTTCTTTAAAGGATTATCGATAGATTTTTGTTTATGTTTTTTTTTGTTTAACGGAACGAGATTTTCATACATTACGTTATATTTACAACTATAATAAACTGCGTTACTATGAAAATTTGTGAATCTCTTGGAATAAGGTTTTTCAGGCATTTCATTATTCTGGAATGAATCAAATAATTTAGTATTTGTTTCCTCGGAATCGTTATTATTATTATTATTATTATTATTATATAAATTGGGATCATCATTATTATTAGAATCAGATGGAATTGTCAAATGAAAAGTTGGATTTATTTGAAAATTTCTCCAATAATTAAATATATTTGCAAGTCTTCGCATATCCGGTCGATTGCTTGGTGAAGCGTCCCAACACATTCTCATAAGTTCCGCATAGTAAATTGGAACATCTTTTGGAATCTTTGGTCGTAAACCTTTTGTTATTTTGTCAATTAAGTCTTTATCATGGGACTCGTCCGAGAAAGGTAAATCAAAAGTGGAAATTTCATACATAATAAAAGCGAAACTATAAACGTCGGATTTTTTAGTAAATTTGAAAATACTTGAGAATACTGTGGGATCGATATAAGGTAATACTCCATGAATATATTGACCATGATAAAAGGGATAAGTTTGTTCGGATATTTTTTCATTCACTGAATAATCATTATATTTATCACTATTTAAAGATAATCCAATATCCGAAAGAATAGGGAATTCTATATCTTTTCCTATCAAAATATTATTTGGATGTAGATTTTTGTGTACAACTGATTCATCGTGAAGATCCGCTAATGTCGTTGCAAGATTGTATAATAAAGCTAATCTATTCCACCAATTGAAATATTTACAATTTTCCGATTTTTTAAGATATTCTCGTAAATTTCCGTTGGGAACATAAGGCATTACGATCATGTCTGTATTTGTTAGTGGATCATGAGTAACTCCATAGTAAGGAAGTACGTTGACCGATTTAAATACACAATTAATAATTGAAAACTGTATAAAAAAAATAAAATAAAATAAAATAAATAAATTTAAGAAAAAAAAAAAAAAAAAGTAAAAATATATGTCAAAATTAAACGGAGTGAGAATAAAAATTTACTTACTTCGTACAAGCAATCTTTGAGTTCTTTTAAAATAACATATTTAGGATCAATTCCAGGAATTTGGTTGAATCCGATTTTTGTTAATAAAAGTTCTGCTTTCCAATTATTATTATCAAATTTCACAACATTTTTTAGATTATATAAATAATCTATGTAATCTAACGTACAAAAAGGACAATGAGCTTTATTTTGTAATTCAATTAATCTTTCTTTAAGTGAATTTTGTATTAATAAATATGATTCTTGTAAATCTTTATAAGTTTTTGCTTTACAAGGCGAACACCATTCTTTGAAAGTAAAAGGACGAGAACATTTGCATTTTCCATAAGATCGAAGATTATTATAATAATTATTATCAATATTATTATTGAAATCTTTACTGCTCATTTCATCACCGGAATCAATAAAGTCACTATCTCCGAGTAGTTCCGCAAGTTCTACTTCGGATTCACTTTCATTACTAATATCATAGTCATTAAAATCGTTACTACCATAACCATAATTTAAGTTTTCTGAAATATCAATTTTGTCCACGAATTCAAAATCCATTGTGGAAGGCAAAAATATTTCTGAACTTGAGTTTGGCGTATTAAAATTTCATTTTATTTACTAAAAAAAACCGGACTTCGGAGTTGTTATTGTTTATAAAATAGGAAAATATAAAGAAATTCAAAAATAATAAATGTGATACCAAAGTTTGCGATGAGAAAATTTTATTATTGCTACGTTTGGAATAACCAGACCAGATGACTAACATTTTTAAATTATTTAGGGTTTTTTTACCAAATTTATAATTTAAAAAAAAATCAAAATTTTTTTATATAAATATAATTTTTGTAAACATCTAATATTAATAATAATAACTTATGATAATTAATAATAAATGCTACGTGTTCTATGAAATGGTAAATTCAATATCTCACTACTTTCGGTGGCATAATCCCATATGAAAAAATCTAATATAATTCCGTTTAATATTGGTATCGCTTCATGTTCCTTATCTTGTTCAATTTTCTTTTGAATAGCTCTCTTTAATAATTCCACCGCCCAAATAGAACTTCCCCGAATTTCAACTTCTAATCTAGAACCATTTGGTAATAAAGTAGCCGATTCTAACATCTTTAAAAAATTATCAGAATAAGATAAGATACCTAAAGAATAAAGTGCTTGGGGTACTCGGTAATCAGCAAACATCGTAATTTCATTAATATCATGAAATTCTCCTAAACCTTCACCATCAAAACATGCCCAAATATCAGCTATCAATATTTGTGCACGTTTATAAAGTACCACCTTTTCTCCATTAAATATCGCTTCATCTTTGAATGAATCAAAATTTTCAATAATCAAATTTAATAATTTCATACATGATTTATTTGATTTTTTAATACAATTAACAAAACTTCCTTCAAATTTTTCCATTAAAACTTTTCCCGCCTCTCTAATACACTTAATCCTTTCGTTTAATAAAGGTATTTCTTCTTGAGTAGAAGAACGAAATACATGACGAATATCTTGATCCGAAATATTTGATTCGGATGAATAATAAGATGGTGTAGTAATTGGGGTACCTTCTTCAATTGCTCTATTAATAACTGCACATAGAGACCAATACCCAACACAATTTTTCTCTTTATATATAATCGCGAATCTTTCACTACCATCTTTTTCGGACCAAAATGAAAAATTTAATAAATCAATCATAAAAATCCAATCAATTGTTTTTTCATTAGCAATCTTAGGATGAAGATCATGTTGTTTCCAGGTTAAAGTAGAATATTTTTTATTTTTCATCATTTCGTATAAAGAATTGGAAGCATTCTTAATACCTTCGGAAGAAATGGTAACGTCTCTACTATTTTTACTAATGTAGTAGCCACTTTTTAATACAGGATTTAAAGAATTTTGTAATTCCTTTTCGATTGGAAGTTCCATGATGAAAAAAAAAATTTGAAGGAAAATAACAAAAAAAAAAAATATGATTAAATAAATAGAAAAAAATAGAATGAATATTTTAAGATATCCATCATTTTGTTCATCCTTTGATCAGACGACCATGTTTTATATATTTGATCCAATCAGAACAATTTTTTAAAATGATAAGTTTCAAGTCATAAATCGAATTTAGAAGTTCATATGTTCTAAATTGAGAAGTAATCTTATGATCTCGATCCATGTGTATGGTAAAGATTCGCGATCAAATCAAACGAATGAATAAAAAATTTAAATTTAAATGTCAATCAGTTATTGTTACAAATAATGTATTGTATTTGCCCAGGAAAAAAAAACCAACGACGATTATCAATTATCAAAACAATCAATCTCGGATAACCCGAGGCTAATAATCATCACGTGGATAGTCATATACATTTAGATGCATTGCATAAAATAAAATCTAGAATTATTAATTATTTATTTTTATAAAAATTCTTATTCACTGGATTTTCGAGAAGGTGCATAAATGAAAAGAGGGTTTAAATCCATCCGGATATTCGGCGGGAATTCTTTTTTTGGACCTAACCTAATTTGGAATTTGGAACGATGACGCCAATATTGCTTATAAATTTTTAACGTTTCGCTAAATTTTTTTTGGGGGGATTAATAAATTTTTAAAAGTTAAAAATATAAGAAATTTATTAACTTTTTATCGTTTCTTTTTCGTCCTCTTTAAAAATTTTTCAAAAAAAAATTTTTTTAATAACCTTTTTGAGTTAAGGAAAAAAAAAAATTAAGAGAATATTTAAATAATGATCGCTTCAAAACTTCCGTATGATTGTTTAAAGGAAGTTTTTGAACACGTTCTTATTTACTCTACACATCGTCATCCAAAAAATCTTTTTTCATGTTTATTAGTTAATAAACTTTGGTCAAAATTAGTTGTTCCACTTTTATGGAAGTATCCTTGGCAATGGAGAGGAGGATTCTCAGCAAGTCCAGTTTTTTGGAAGGCAATCACTAAAACAATAATATCATGTCTCTCTGAAGAACAAAAATCCCGAATTTTTCTCTCTTTACCTAATTTATCACCTCCGACATATGATTATATTAAATATTGTGAACATTTATCACCCAAAGTTATAGAATCAATTATTGAAGCATTAGAAATATTACAATTGAATCATGATGATATCAAGAATTTCGAGAATTCAATAATTGTCAAAATAAATAGAAGTATATTACAAATTGAATTTTGGAAATTTTTCATGAATAAATGTTTAATCATTAAATCTTTGGAATTACCGAATATTTCGATTATTAATTATCCTGGAGCTACCAATTGTTTAAGTTCTCTGGAAGAACTTGAATGTTGTACTTTGAAATCATCCAAATTATTTAAAGAATTAGTACCAATTTGTCATAATATTCGCTTTCTATGTGTATCATGTGACGAAGATAATGATGGATTATCACAACTTATTATATCTCAACATGCATTATTAGAATTTAGATGTATTTCTTTAAATGGAGAAATTTGTACGAAAATTGGACAAGCTTTAACATCTCAAGCTCATTCATTGGATACTTTAAATTTAGAGAATAGTTTATGTTTTTCGGCGGCAATATTAAAAAATTTCATTAATCTCACGGAATTAAATATTATTATTGATGATAAAATACCTTCTGATTTAAATACTTTAAGATTAGTAACATTACCAAATTTACGAAATTTATATATTGAATGTAATAATGAATATCCACCATTAGATATTTATGTAGGTTTAATTGAAAGAACTCGAGGAGAGTTAATCAAAGTAGAAATTAATTCATCACATTACCTTCAACGAAAAGAATATTTTTCAATATTAATTCGATCAATTTTTACATCATGTCGATCTCTTAAAGTAGTTTGTGTTTATTATACTGATAAAGTTAAGATGGAATTAGAAGAATTGATTAAAATTTGTAAAAATTTAGAAGAAATTACAATTAATGGAAGAAAATTAATGGAAAATGAAAATTCACCACTTGCCAAATCTGTATTTGAGATTTTATTGAAACATGGAACAGAGAATTTACAAGAATTGGCATTACTTGGTGAATGGAAAAGCTCTCAAGATGAAATTTGTGAATTTTTTAGATCTTGGGATTATAAATATAAAAAATTATTAAGATGGCGCATGGATTTTTATTTTCACAGATCAAATTAACAATAATTAATAATAATAATTAACAAAACTAATTAATGAATTTATAATAATAATAATAATAATAAATTATGTTAATAATATTATCTAATCTTAATATTAGTTAATTAAATAATAATAATAATAGTAATAATAAATAATAAATAATAAATAATAAATAATAAATAATAAATAATAATTTATATTAACTTTATGATGAAATTATTATGTCATATTTATCTAATCCATAATTTGTGATACAGATAAAAATCAACAGAAATGTGATCATAAAACCAGGAATCTGGACTATAATAAATTTATGCCAATTAATATTTTTTGAATATTATTCGTGTTACGTGACGCGTTGTCATTGAAAATTGAAAATCATTGAAAAATTTGAGGTCAATGATAATTGAATTAACCATATTTAGATATCTAACAATTTTTTTTTTTATTATTATTACAAGGGAAATATTTTTTATAGATTTAACAAATTTACATTTTGCTATTATTAACTTTCTATTTTCTTCTTATGTTCTTTGATTTTCAAATTTTTTTTATTTGCATTACTCAAAAATAATATTTTATTATTATTAATTATCCCTTGAAAATATAAATCATATTACTTTCGGGAACACAAATAGATGCCGTGTATCAATCAATAGTTATTAATGTTTTTATGTTGCATTTAATGCGTGGTGCGCAGAGAGAGAAAGAATTATATGAGATCCTTTTTTTTTTTCTCTCATTGGAAAAAAAAATAGATATATTTTTTTTTTTCTTAAAAAACCTGAATAAATAAACAAACAAAAATAGAATAAATAAAATAATTAAAGATTCAGATTCATGAGCTGGTTCTTTCATTCCCTTTCTTTTTTTCAACTGTCTATAATATCTTGTAAATTTTTTTCTTCTTCATTCTTAAGAACCTCCTCGCTCGCTTACTAATAAAATTTATTTCTTGTCCTATAAAATAATTCTAAATAATTTTAATGATATCTTTATTTAAATTCATGATTTAAAAAAATATTTATATATTTTATAGAAAAAAAAAAAAAGAACAATATTATCTATAATTTACGATAACAAAAAAAAATGAAATTTCATATATCTTGCTTATTTTCACTAGTTTCATTAACACTATTATTATTCCCATTCGCAAATATAATTGTATCAGCCAATAATTCAAGACAATTAGCATTATTACCCATAAAAATTACAAATGATGCAAAGGGATCCTGGGAAGTAATAATTCCTTGGAAAGGGCATGGTTTAGAACCAAAAGGTACGTTTTAATATTTTTTTTTTATATTTAATTTTTTTTAATATTATTAAATTTTTCAAGTATATATTTTTAACGCTAATTCACCCGGTGATTTATTTATTTATTTATTTATCTTAGAAATACTTAGAATTGGTTTATATTGTTCAGGGCATCCTCAAGTTTTAGTGAATATTATTTCAAGTCCTCAGGTAATTTTTTATTCTCTTCTTTATCATCGAATAAAAAAAAAAGAATGAATATATATAATAATAATAATAATAATAATAATAATTAAAATATTATAATTTATTATTATTAACAGTTTCATACATTCGGTGACAAAAAAGCAACATTCAAAATAACACTCGAAAATATTAATGCTCACAATACATTAATTCAATGTTATTCGTCAATTACCACAACTACTGGATTTAAAAATTATTTACACGATAGTCAATCATTTATGATAAATCGTAGAAAACTTGATCTTTTACCTACAAAAATTATAAATATTGATCAATTCAGATGGGAATTAATTGTTCCTTGGAAAGGAACTGGATTTGATGAAGAAGGTAAATTTTTAATTAATTAAATAAATATTTATTACTGATTAATTAATTAATTTATTTATTTTACATATTAATTATCTTTATCTTTATCTTTATACAGAAATATTACGACTTGATCTTTATTGTTTCCTTTCTGTGCCTGCAACTTTGAAATTATCATCTAGTCCTCAGGTAAATAATTTTTATTAATTATATTATTTCGATCCAACGATGATGATGATGATCTTTTTTATTAATTATTTAATTTAAAATATTTAGTTCTATCCATTCGGTTCCAAAGAAGCATCATTCAAATTAACACTTTTTTCTAATACTCGAATAAACGTCATGGATAATAAAAATATTCTTAAAAAAATTACTTGTGCTACTTATATATCTTCGGCTAATTCTACCAACGTTTTATATGATAAACAGAATTTTGGAATAAATCTCTACAAACGACCGTAGATTCGGAACTGTTTAAAATATGAATATAGCGTAGTTTTTTTAAAAATATACAGTACATATATATATAAATATGGTGTGGTTTAAATAAAAATAAAATTTTTAATTTTTTTTTTTTTAATAAAAAAAAGATCAGATCACTTTAGTAATTTCCTAATCTAATTTTGTCAAATTATAAATTTTGTGTAAAGATTCAAAATTAAATTAAATTAAATTGCTTTAATAAATATGGCAACTTGTACAACCAAATGATATTTGTAATCTGACGAAAATTTGACACGACACAACTTTATTAATCACCTCACTTGATTTATATAAATCATACTAAACGGATTTATTTTTTATCAGGATATTTTTTATTAATAGACAATGGTTGCACAAAAAAGTTTGAACGAGGTAAGAAACAATATGATGCATTTTATTTGATTTTGAATATAATCTTTTAAATGTATTTCTGATTTTAGACAAAATTCAAAAAATCCTATTAAGAAAATATTATTGGCGCATTGTTCTAGAAGTATTGTGTGTGAAGAAGAATATACTGTACATTCTTTTAGAGTTGATTACTGGGTTTACGCCATATTTATGATGTACCACATGATAGAATATGGATTAGAATGGATTGACCAAAAATTCCATTTCGTACTCCAAAAATAATCATAAACCTACTTTTTTAGCGAAATACGATAATGATTATTGGGAAGATCACAATAATAAAAACAATAAAATTACGAAACACCTAACAAATTTAACTATAATCCTTATAATTGCCAAACACACATCCACAAGTGATTTACACAAGTACTTCGTAATTATTCAAGTTTTCCGAAACCTAAAAATGAAAAAAAAGAACTAAATCTATTTCTACTTTATAATTAATTTATTTCTATCTTTATTTTGTTGATCCGGAACAATTGATTTTTGTATACTTGATTCTTAAATTATATTTTATAGTTTAATATATTTATTACGTTTTAATAAATTATAAAAAAAATATTAACACTATGTATGAATTCAATAATTTTAAAATCATACTTGATAAATTTGTAAATGGTGCGTATTCTGCTTTAAATAATCGTGAGACAATATATGCGTGCATAAAATAAACAATGTACAGTTTTCTAATTTCGGTAATCTATTAAATTTGTGCTGTCAACAAACACATTTTAATTTCATCTGAGCTCGAAAATTCAACACAATTTTAATCACCGCACTTTTCAAAATTAAGAAAATATGATGGGTTCATGTGGTTTATGGGGTTTATGTGAAGAATGCAATCATGAAAATACTACCCGGTATTGGTGCAAACGTTGTAACCCAAAGCATTTCAAAAATAACTTTGATAAATGGACAAGCGGAAATGAAAAAATAGACAAATTTATTCAAAATTCTCAATTAAGAGCAGGTAAGCAATGGAAAGCGATAGAATGGATACCTTATAATAGATTTAAATATATTAAAGAGATTGCTAAAGGTGGCTTTGGTACTATTTATCGTGCTAAATGGATTGATGGATGTATTTATTATTGGGATATTATCAATAAACAATGGATCAGAATTGGTCAACATGAAGTTGCATTAAAAAAGTTTGATAATTTTGCAAATTTAAATGAAGATTTATTAAATGAGGTAAAATATTTTTTTGAATTATTATTATATTATTATGTAATTTTTTGAAATACTGTATATAATACATTAGTTACAATTTAAAAAGAAAATACATTATTTTAGATGGCAATTCACTTTGAAACAATGGATAGCTTCGATAATTCAGTCCGAATTTATGGAATAACTAAAGACCCGGAAACCAACAAATATATAATGGTTTTAAAATATTTTTCTGGTGGAAATCTTAGAGAATATTTGAAAAATAATTTTAGTGATATGAATTGGTTTGATAAACTTTATTATTTAAGGAGACTTGCATTTAATTTAAAGAAAATTCATGAATTAGATATAATACATCGGGATTTTCATCCTGGAAATATTTTATCGGATAACTTTATGAAAAATCCTTTATATATTTCAGATTTTGGATTAAGTACAATAGTAGGACAAAATTCAAAAAATCCTAATAAGAGAAATATCATTGGTGTCTTACCTTATATTTCTCCAGAAGTTTTATGTGGAAAAGAATATACAAAGGCTGCTGATGTATATTCTTTTGGAATCATAGCTTATGAATTAATTACTGGTTTTGCACCGTATTATGATGTGCCACATGATAGAGATTTAGCTTTACAAATATGCAATGGGTTACGACCAAAAATTCCATTTTACACTCCAACATTAATTACAAGAATAATAATGCAATGTTGGGATGCTCGAGTTACTTATCGACCCACTTTTGAAGAATTACATGAAGAGTTGTGTAAATACAATAATGATTATGAGAAAAATTATTTTAATTATAATAATGAAATTTCAATACAAATTGATAATGCAGAAAAATTTTCCAAACATCTAACAAACTATACAACTACAAATCCTTATAATTACCAAACACATCCAGAAGCAATTTATACTAGTCGACTTCTCAATTTTTCAAGTCTTCCGAAACCTAAAAATGATGAAAATTTCGAAAAAGAACTTGAAGAAATAACTAAATCTACTTCTGCTTTAAGTGTTAGTAAGTAATCAATTATTTATTCTCTCATTATACTATATTTATTCATTGATTGTATTAATTTTATTTTTATTTTATTAGTCGCTTCAGGAAAAATTAATTTTTTGAGTACATGATTCTTAAATTAAATTTTATTTTATTACATTTTTATAATTTCATCTATAAAAATATCAACACTTGGTACATATAATAGTTATTATGCTGTGAAGTAATAATGTCAAACCAAAATAATATAAATTAGACAATAAACGAAATAATAATTCACGCAAAATTAATTTTTTGAGCGAATAAAATTTCTTATTATACATATATATAGTAAACGTGATTAACCTACAATTTAATTCAAGCGTTTATAAAAAATTTTAATAATACTTGTAATCGAAGACTGATTTAGCAAATAAAAAAAAATACATTAAACAATAAATATTTAATTACAAACTCATATTATGATGGTAAATGCATACTAATATAATAATGAAAAAAAAAATCTATAAAATATATTTAATTGGTTCAGAAGCGACTAAATAAAAGATAAGATTAAAAAATTAATAACTAATTATAATAAATTTTAAGAGAACATACTTAGTCCTACTCTGACCCTTTTGACTTATTTTTAGAAAATTTTTTTGTATTATCAATTTGAATTGCAATTTCATTATTATTTTTATAATTATTTTCCCAATAATTATCATAGATTTTATCAAACTCTTCATGCAATTCTTTAAAAGAAGGTTGATGGCTAACTCGAGCATCCCAACACCTCATAATTATTCTAGTAATTAATTTTGGAGTATGAAATGGAATTTTTGGTCGCAATCCATTGCATATTTGTAAAGCTAAATCTCTGTCATGTGGCACATCGTAATATGGTGCAAACCCAGTAATTAATTCATAAGCAATAATCCCAAAAGACTATACATCAGTAGCCTTTGTATATTCTTCCCCACATAAAACTTCCGGAGCAATATAGGGTAATACACCAAGGATATTTCTATTGTTAGAATTTTCTAAACTTTGTCCAACTATTTTACGTAATCCAAAATCCGAGATGTATAAAGCTCCATTATTATGACGTGATAAAATGTTTACAGGATGAAAATTCTGATGTACTGTATCTAAATTATGAAAACATTTAAAATTATATGCCAGTATTCTTAAATCAAGTAATTTATCATCCCAGTTAATATTATTGAAATGATTTTTTAAATTATCTCTAAGACTTCCGGTAGGAATATATTCTAATACCATCATATATTAATTAGTTTCCGAATCTTTTGTTATTCCATAAATTAGGATGGAATTACTAAAGAGATCATTTGTTTTCAAGTGAATTTCCATCTAAATAATGTATTTTATAAATTATAATTATAATTAATATATTATATGTCTCAAAAATTACATAATAATAATAATTCAAACATATTTTACCTCATTTAAGAACTCTTCATTTAAATTATCAAATTTTTTTAATACTACTTCAAGTTAATCACTTCGATCCCATTGTTGATCTAAAATATTCCAAGATCAACAGTCCTCTTAGCGTAATATATTGTGCCAAAACCACCTTTGGCAATTTCTTTAATATCTTTAAATCTATCATAGGATATCCATTCTATTAGTTTCTTAAACTAGAATACATTTAGCTGAACATTTTGAATAAATTTATCTATTTTTCATTTCCACTTATCCATTTATAAAAATTATTTTTGAGTTACACGGTTTGCACCAATCCCAGATGGTATTTCATGATTGCATTCTTTACGTAATAGATGATCATTATATTTACAATCTATAAAACCCCTATCATCTAAAACCATCAAATATTTGTTATCCCAAAAATTTGGATGGAATTACTTAAGATACCAATTGTTTTCAAGTAAATTGCCATCTTAATAATGTATTTATACGAATTATAATTAATATGTTGTATTTCAAGAAATAATATTTTATTCAAAAAATTATTTTACCTCACTTAAAAATATTTCATTTAAATTCACTAATATTTTTAATACTACTTCAAGTTGACCACTTCACCCCCATTGTTTATTTTCAGTATTCTAATGATGAATACGTCCATACATCCACCACTTGGCATAATATACTGTACCAAAATCAACTTCAACGGCTTCTTTGATATCTTTAAATCTATGATAAGGTATCCATTCTAATACTTTCCGCTGACTATTTGCATTTAATTGAGCATCTCGAATAAATTTATCTATATTTTCATTTCCACTTGTCCAGCTAATAAAACTATTTTTGAAATGTTTGAGTTGCACGGTTTGCACCAATTCGGGGTCGTATTTTCTTGATTGCATTCTTTACATAAAGCCATTTTATTTTTTCGATTTTTAGTGAGTGAGGTAACTGAAAAAAAAAAGTGGAAAAAAATCGAGTCTCGGAGGAAATTAAAAATTACCGAATATGTTGCACGAGATTTAAAATGGAATCTTTCAAATATTTGTTTAATAATAGTATCACCCATGATACCATTATTGGGCTAAATTTATTAATAATTCTTTTTCTGTTTCTTTAATGTTAAAAATGTGAATAAATATTCGAATAACTCGTGTCAAAATTACAAACTTGGAAATGATTTTTCATAAATGGAGTTATTAAGGTAAATACTTCATATCATCTTTGAATTACAAGCATAAATTTATGTGTGTGGATAATAGTAAATAGAATATACTGTATATATGTTACATATAATTGCTATTATTCTGTGAAGTAATAAATAGAATTTCTTATTAAAAAATATATGATATCCGAAATATAACCCTTTGTTAAACGCGACGTGATTAACCTACAATTTAATTCAAGTGTGAATTGTGTTTATAAAAAATTTAATATATTTTATTAATACTTGTATTGAAATTAGCAAATATTATTAAGCAATAATTATATTGTTATTTTGTTTGCTAGTAAATAATATTTATTATTTATTATAATCAAAAACCTCAATTATAAACTTATTCATATAAAGATGATGGTAAATACATACTAAAAGATGATGACAAAATAAAGATAAGAGAACCTCTATAATAGGAACTTGGTCATAGTAAAATTGTTCGTTTCTAAATATAGAATAACGACCGATTCTATTATATTAAAGTCACCTGAATTTAATTATAGCTATCATTTGGAAATATACTAAAATAGTAATTGATCTAAAAAAGATTTAAGTGTTTAACAAAAGATTTAAGAATGGAAAAAAATACGTAATGAGATGCAGATTTAAAAGATACTGCGAGTATAGAATATATATATATATAAATTTCATCTGATAATTAAATTTCTTTCAATATTATAATAAGTTAAGTCACATGCTGTCAAACATTGAGATCATTAGTTCACGTTAAAGAAAATATTTTTAGAAAGCATTAAAGTTGTAAAACCAGTAATTATTAATCTCAACCGAGCCCAATTTTATTTTATTTTCACAATAAATTTATGTAAAGAATGCAATCAAAAAGTTTATGGTTGACGGTGCAAAACATGCTACTCAAAACATCTCATCAACCAATTGCCTTAGTTTTATTAAATAAATGCATTAAGCAATGATTATATTAGAAAATAAGTAATAGATATATCACGTTCATGATAATTTTATTGATTAAAAAAAAAGGAGCGTCACTTTAATTAGTTTAAATAGCATAAACCAAAGCTACACTTAATTTTAAATAGATATTAAGTTCATATTTCATTTGCATCGTCTATATTTTATCGTTAATTTTTTATCATCGATATTATAATCATCTATATTGCTAATTCGATCAGTTAAAACTAAATTTGTCGTTAAAATATCGTCAAAATCAACAAGAGCGACCAATTAGTAAACGCGGGATAATATTCAATATTTATTAATAATGAATATAATACTAATATGCCCGATTGTTAATATTTTAAGTTAACCAAATTCATAAAAAATAAAACATAATTTAAGAATCAGATACACTATTAATTGGCTCAGTAGCAATTAATATTATTGATTGTAGAATAAATATAATATTATATGATAAAATAATTGATACTTGCTGGCACTTAAAAGAAAATTAGATATAATAATTTATTAAAATACTATTGGTTTTACAAGTTACATCTTTCACTACAATATCTGAAAATTGATAGCAAAGTTTTAATTGAGAAGGTGTCATCCAAAATCATCAAATTTTAAGGGCTACTTTCCACATTGGATTATTTTGTGAATTTTCAAGTAACTTAGTATATAATTTTGCTGCATCATTACTATCATTTTTATCTTCATTATAAATTATTTGTCCCAGAAATCTAGCTTTTAAATATTGCCTTTGAATAGTAAGAACTTCGATTTCTCTTAAAATTTCAGATGATAAATTTTTTGCTACTTCCAAATTGAATAACATTAGTAGGGTAAAAATGGGTGTTCTGGCCCAGCACTAGTCATCTTGCTATTTTTCACACTCCAAAAACATTACCAAGCATATCAATTTTTGTACATCAATTTGCTTTTTTCGCCACACAGGAAAGCCACTAACTATACCACACACAAGTATGCGGTGTGATTTATTTTTTTCGCCACATTTTTATATCAAAGTATATTAATTTTATATATATTTAGAACACATTTAATTACCCAAATTCATATCATAAAGGATATCAATTATTTATGATATTATTTGATATAATAGAATTCATTCTAAAGACAATTCTTCACTACTTTTCTGGCCCACAAAAATCTAACAAAAACTATATATATATGTTAAGTCTAACAAAAATTTATACCTAAGTGTATCAAAATTTATCAATATATATGCTAAGTCTAATAAAAAAAAATGATATATACACCAAGTCTAACAAAATTTATCGATATATATACCAAGTCTAACAAAATTCCGTGCCAGGTTTTTCGCTTATCAAGAATCTAATTTTGAAACCCTAGCATGTAATCTATTATAGTACTGGACCACATAGTAGCCCCTAATATGTAAAGGACACCGTCCAGAAGTTGAACCAGTTGGCTTACTACATTCAATACAAGGAATTCGTCTTTTAGCTTTCCAATGATAACTACAACCCTCGGGTTTCATATAACTTCTTTCACAAACTTTACCGAAATTATGATAGAATGGGCAGGTATATTCACCTATCATTTTTATTATACTGAAATATTTATTTAAAGAAAAGATTTTATAAAGTATTACATACAAAACTTTAGATAATCAAAACATAATACATATTC